TCTATGGTAGAACGTCCCTTACGAAAGCCATATTGACGAGTGGAGAGACTGTTGTCTCTCTAAATACCACACTAAACGTCTATTTACCAGGCGTTCCATCACGTTACAAACTGCACTGGTAAGAGCAATAGGACGATAGTGGGAGGCGTCATGTCCCGTAGTGCCTGGTTTGCAGAAAGGGAGAACAATGGCAGATTTCCACAGCTGTGGAAGAACTCCTTGTGACCAAATAAGATTGAAAAGGCATAATAGGACTGCAAGGGCTGACTGATGTAAATGTTGTAGCATATGAATATGAATGTCGTCGGGCCCAGCTGCCGATGATCGGCAAGCTGAGTGTTGCCTCCAGTTCTTGAAGTGTAAAAGGCACATTATACTGTTCTTCTCTGAGAGAAGAAAAGTCCAAGGGTGCTAACTCTCTGGCAGACTTTGAGGAAAGAAATGAGGGGCATAGATGGAGCCCCTGAGAAATATGGACCATACGATTGCCAATTTCATTGGCAACATCTAGATGGTTTGCTATATCAACACCGGCAACCCGCAGAACAAGCGCCGGGTCAGGAGAATATTTCCCACTCAGTTTTCGTACTTTTTTCCAGACTGCACTCATAGAGGAAGCAGAAGTGATGGTGGAGACAATCTCGCCAGCAAGTGCGTTTAGCATCACGGATGACACGGCGAGCGATCGCACGCTTCTGCTTAAAATCAAGAAGTCTCTCCGTGGTTCTATTGTACCGGTACCTGCCCCATGCAGCGCGTTTCAAACGTACTGCACGAGCACAAGCAGGATACCACCAAGGCACGCATTTCTGAGAATGCCTGCCTGAAGTTTGGGGTATAGAATGAGAAGCTGCGGTTAAAACGGAGGACGAGAAGAGGTGTAAAAGCTCATCAATGGAGGATGAAGAAGGAACCTCACTAAAAACAGTTAGTTGTGAGTAAAGGTTCCAATTTGCCTGATCAAATTGCCAGCGTGGGATACGAAGAGGTGTTGAATATGAAGGGGAAGTAAGAATGGGAAATGATTGCTGTCATGTAAATCTGGGAGAACAGACCAGGTGAAGTCTAATGCGGTGGAGGAAGAGCAGACTGAGAGATCGATGCAAGAGAGAGTGTGAGTCCGAGGATCAAAATGGGTGCGAGTACCTGTATTTAAAACATGGAGGGGGTGGGTAGCAAGAAAAGCCTCTAACTGAATGCCACGGGAATCACAGTGAAACCCCCCTGAGAAAATGAAGGGCATTAAAATCGCCAAGTAACAGAAGCGGTGGCGGTAATGACGAAACAAGAAAGGCAATATCCGGAATAGATAATGCCTGAGAAGGAGAGAGATATAGAGAACAGAGCGTATACCACCTATGCAAGTGGGTACGGGCTGCTGTGTAATGCAGCAAAGTACGAACAAATAGCTGATGGTACGGAATATCAGTGCGTAGAAGAAGGGCACTTTCATTAAAGGTCCCATCAGGAAAAGGATCTGAAGAATACAATAAATTATAGCCTGAGATGGGATAGATAACAGCAGAGTGTAATTTTCATTCCTGTAAGCAAACACCAACAGGGGAAAACTGGGAGAGTAACATCTGAAGCTCACCCCGATTACCCCTGAGGCCGCGTATATTCCACTGTAAATAGGCCATGATTGGCAATGATAAAGATATCTGAAATCTGCAGGTAAGGGTTCCTACGGACTAGAGGGGTTAGAAAAGTCCACATGCGGAGGAATCGGAAAACGTTCAAGCAGCGAAGGAACGGTGCACTGTGAAGAAAGGAGTTGCGCAGATGGAGGAGAGGAGAGAGAAGGAACAGAGGGTGGATCAGTGTCCATCGGTGGTTTGGTCTCTGCAATATATTCAGAGATTGCTTCAAGTGTTTCGGAATTCAGAGACGTCGTATGGGAGACAATATTGGAGATGGTAGGGGGAAGATGAGTAAAGATTGGAACTGTAATGGACTGTACCAAGGTAGTGGGGGGCGAAAGGGTGGAGGGAACTGGAGAAGAAGCGTGGAAGGGGACAGAAGAGGCAGAAACCTGGGAGGTGGCAGAAGAGGAAGAAACTTGGGAGGGAACAGGGGAGGAAGGTACAGTACGAGGAGGAGGGTGAACCTCTACACTTGTAACAGAGCCAGTGAGAGGCGAAGAACCAGGTACAGAGACAGGGAAGGTAAAATGAGGAGGTGGAAGGGAAGGAGGGGTTAAAGGACCTTTTTTTGACTTCAGAGAAGTAGAGGGACGATTGGGAGGTGTCGTCGTACGAGATCGCATCGATACTGAGGCTTGTGAGGGAGAACATGAAGAAGCGAGAACAGACTGAGTCGTTGAAGTAGGGACGCCTGAGCCTAGGACAGCAAAAGAATTAGATACGGGAGTGATTATGGGAGAGGTAACCACAGAGGAGGCTGCAGATGGGAATCCAGAAGTAGGGGGACGTTTTGAAACACGGGAGTAAGAAACACGAGGTAGTCTCCCTTGGAGGCGGAGATGAGAAACTGCCATGGTATAAGGGAGACCTTCTGCCTCTTTGAGGTAACGGATTTCCCACTCATTTAAGTAGACTTGGCAACGGCGAGAGTACGAAGGGTGAGCCTCATGACAATTAAGGCAAGAGGGAGGTCGACTGCAAGACGTATTAGAATGGTCATCGGCACCACAGACTGGGCATTGGGCTATGGATCTGCAATATTTCGCTGGATAGCCAAATTGCCAGCAATTTCTACACTGTTGCGGTGAAGGGATCACCTTTCGAACTTGTAACCGATGTCCTGCTACATAAACTGAGGATGGGAGTTCACGGCTGTCAAAAGTTAAACGAGCCACATTGCTAGGGTATCGTCTCCGCCCGCGGGCAGGAAGAACATAAGTGTCTACCTTGAGGATAGGGAGATCTTGGAGTTCCAGCTGTTCAAGAATGTCATTGCCACATGTCTGGAAATTTTGTTGAACTATGGTATGGGGCAGAATGACGGTACCACTACAAGAATTGAGGGAATGATGTTTTTCAATAGTGACAGGAACAGTATCGATATGGGAAAGAAGAGAAAGATCATGAGCCTGGGTAGCATTCTGTACAGTGATGATGCGCATACCGCTCTTAAGAGCATGAAAAGAAATATCTTTACCAACATGGCGTAGGAGTGCCTTGCCAATACGTACTGTGGTCGGAAAGATAGGCAGTAGAGGAAGTCGGTCGTAAAGTGAAGAATTTAGTCCATTGTGCATTCTGAAACTGAGCGTGGAAAGGGAGTGCAGGATGTGTCGATCTTTTCTGAGAAGAACGAGAAGGTGGAGAAGTATCATCAGCAGGTAATTGTCGTCAGCGTTTAGGCGTGGGACCAGAGTTGGTCTGATGTGGAACGGGCCGGCGATTCGAAAATTGCCATACCGTAGAGGCAGAGACCGGAAGCATAGTCAAAGGAGAGCGGAGGTCAGATAAATCGAAGGAGTCAGTCGAGACCTCAGTATCTGAAGCGGGTGAGGAAACAGCACTGGCAAGAGGTACAGAGGCATGAGGAGTGTCTGAAAAGTGGTCCAAAGACGAGGCGGGGTCAGAATAGGGTGTGGTATCAAGTAGGGGCCTGAGGGTAGCAGGTTCATGGATTGGGTTCTCCGTGGTTAGGTTACTTCTTTCGTTTTGTTTTTAAGAAAAAAAAAAAAGAAAATAAAAATAAAAAAAAGAATAAAAAAAAAGGGGGGACAGGGGAGGGATAGTTCCTAGGAGGAATGAAAGGGCCAGAAATCTCCCTCCGCGCCCAAGAGGACCTCAGCACCGCAAGTAGCGTAGATGCAGCATGAAACCCGTGCCATACCCTACCCATCATGCCAGTAAACCAGCAATCCGGGATAGCAACCTCACATCTGCCGAGCTACCTCTGTGGACAAAAGAGAGGGCGGCTAGATATCCGCCACAAAGCATACCTCCTTCGGCCACCACCCCCGGAATCCGAAAGGTGGCTTCCAGAGATATACCCGTCGCCCGAGACACACCCAAAGCCACCCTCCGGGATACCAGAGAGGGATTGGGACATCCCCAGGCAATCCAGATTCCACGGCAAACTACGCCACCACCAAGAACCTCAACGGAATGGGATGGACCCTGGTACCCTTTCCCCTACCTAGGAACTAGTGTGCCTGTGGGAAAAAATCCCAAAGGCCAAAAAGGAAGGGCAAAAGGGAGGGGTGGGGAGGAGGAGAAGGAAAGGAAAAAGGGGAGGATGGGATAGGGAAGGGGGGATTGGGGGTAATTAGGTTTGGTCTGAGGAAGGAGACCGACAGGTCTAATTCCTCAGACCAAGAGCCTCTTCACCACAACAAGGAGCCCCCCTTGAAGAGGGGGGGAAAGGTCCTATAGCACCTGGGAAAGTGGATAAATTAAAAAAAAAAAATTACAGTTCCTTGAATCAAAAGCCCATTGTCATCAAGGTGAGGAAGGTAGATTTAAATTCTTGGATCGAGAACCCATAACTAATTACGTATATACATTGGTACCCCAGGTTTCGTACATAATTCATTCCAGAATGAATTTCCCATAAGAAATAATGTAAATTAGATTAGTCCATTTCAGACCCCCCAAAAATACACTTACATAACTGTTTCGAGCTGGGAGCAGTACGAAACTCGGGGTATCACTGTATTACCAACAAGTTAATGAGCAAGAGGACTTCATCAGCTGAATACAAAGGTGATTACAACAGTGAAAACAGGACTAGTGCAGATGAAGATTTAAGGTGATCAATCACTCAACATCGATGTCAGGCTTGGAGACTGACAAGCACCGACTGTCGGTGCTTGTCAGTCTATAAGCCTAAGGGAGTGATAATCTCAAAACAACCTCGTAACTCATCTCCATTGCTGTGATCATTATGCATTCGACTGATGAAGCTTGCTGTGCAGGGAAAACGTTTCAACAATTTTTACTGAACACGTCTTGCTCATCAACCTGTCACCGGCTTCAAGGTAACCTTCAAGGCAGAATGCTGAAAAACATTAAAAAAAAAAAAAATTGTTACACTCAACACCTGTTTATTCATTTTACATAAATTACCTTATTCCAGAATAAAGATTTATATTAACCATACCTACACAATATCCTCATGAGCAATTTAATCTGCTTATGTACCAAGTTAATTGTCTCATCATACAGCACTGTTATAATTAAGTGCTAAACCCATAAAGGGACACACAGTGCTGCTGCTCGTCATACTTTACCTGTCCAGTCTCCTGAGTCATACTGATACTTAACATTCAAAACCCAGAAATTTAACTTTAGTTGCAAAAAATGCATGAGTAAAATCCTTGCATTAAGTGCATGTCGACATGTACTGTAGTACAGGTCAGACATCACTAATCCGGCAATCAGTTATCTGGTTCCGGCACTAATTTCGGGTAGCATAATTTCAAATTTCATCATTATACTGACTCAGAAATTGTGCAGATGGTTGTAAATCCACAGCAGCAAGCTAGTGGAGGAGAAAGCAGTGATGAAAATGAGCCAGATGTAGCAAAGTCTATTGATATTTTAATTGAAGTGTATTCTAACCTGGCCACTCTAATCCGGCACACTACAGGTCCCAATGATGCCAGATTAATGATGGCCGACCTGTACCATATTTTACTATCAATATTTATATTAGGCTAGATTATAGTAATGACATGTAATGCCACTAGTAGATCAAGACTTGCAACAGAGTGGGGTCTTTATTGACAAGACAGTTCTCCTCCTCAACGAGCTGCTTTAGTTCAAGGCTCTCTGATCGTGGGTCCTATCCCTGCCCGTGGTATGGTTTGCTTTAGTTCAAATGTATAGGCAACAAGTACAGTAGTAGTGAAGATAAAAGGTGGTCAGTCACTCTGCCTTGGTAGGTGTCAGCTTCATAGCTTCGGTGAAAGCTGTGGAGGTGAACACTCACCAAGACTGAGGGACTGACTGTCTCATATCTACCTCTCCACTGCTTCTGTTGGCACCAGTATTTAAGCCACCTCTGTATGTTGCCTGAAGAAGCTTGCTGAGCAGGCCAAATCCCTCACCAATAGATACCAAACCATTGCACATTACTTATCTAGATAAGGTTACATAGGTCAGTAGAGCTAAATAAGACAAAAGTAACACTGTGGACTGAGCACTCCAGGAACATTCAGTCATCAACCATTGACAACCTAAATGTTGGATGTGTGTCAACTTGCCAATATTGTGTACAACTTATATTCTACATCAATATCACAAGAACCACAGTAATCTATCTCAGACCAGTAGGGCCACATCAACCCCCTCCACACAATGCCTTGCCAACAAGCAATGATAACTAGAATGCAAGGGAAGATATACTGTAGTCAAACAATGATAACTAGAATACAAAAATAAACTAGCCATTTTGACCTAATAACTAATTTTGAGGAAAAAAAAATTATAGATGTCTAAAATATAACCCTGTTTTTTTCCCTACATATTCTAAACCTTAGTTTTTTTTTTTTTTTTTATCGAGTGAGGATTTTCAGGAATGTAATCCCGTGTCAGAACTTTTACTATATATAAAATTATATCCTTAATGTAAGAATTTCAAACAATGATCTCTTGCAACTATACACTAAATTTCAGTTTGCCAAATATTAGTACCATTAATTCAAATGGGAACAAGGACAGGCTGGATTATCGTATATTATAATAATTACATATAAGGATTATCATATAATCTGCCATACAAATAACCAAAGAAATTTATATGTTTAACAAAAATACAAAGGTTCAGCAGATTTGATGGAGTGCAAAGGTATGTACTGTACAATATACTCCACTGTGTAATAAATACGAGCTACAAAATCTAACCACGTACTGTACACACTGTTTCTTGATGTCTTCCTTAAGTCTCTAGTCACAGAATGTATGTACATCATTTAAAAGTGCTAAACCCATAGGGATCACAGTGCTATAGGTAAATGAGAGGCACTGGATTAATCCAGGGAAGGTAGCTCCAATTTCTTCTATCAAGATCCCTTCAGTATCAATGTACCCCTCTAAGGGGAGTGCATTATACATACAAGTACGTATTTACAAAACACTATGGTGAGAATTTTACCATAACAAAAAATAAGCAAGAAAACCACTAACAAAAACTCATTGCCTTTATGCCACGTGTGTAACAGCACTGGGCTAAATTATCGTAATAGATAGTGATACTTTCAAGTGTGATGATGATAATACAGCCTCTCCTCACTTAGCGACGTACTCATTTACCGACCGCTTGGATTTATGACCAGCTCTCCAATCAGTATACAAACCTAGGTAATGCATATTAGAGCTGATTTCCTCTATTCTGTTTATTACAGCATAGAGTACACAACTGTATAAACATTTAAAAATATACTAAATATGTTATAAATAGTGCAAAGGTAACATTAAAAAAATACCTAAAGATGGTTGACATAAACCCACTACCAGTATAGTATGCTCCTCACTTAACTGACCAATTCGCTTACCAACCTACTCTTAGAAACAGAACCCTGTTGTTAAATGAGGAGAGGCTGTAATAATAATACTACAGTGATATGTCAGTGACTTTGTCATAATGGGAAGTAATAAGCCAGTGAAACTGCCATAAAGGGAGGTAATAAGCCAGTGAAACTGCCATAATGGTAACAAGTCAGTGCAACTGTCACAATGAGAAGTGATAAGCCAGTGAAGATTATGACTTAACGTTTTGTGTCTGACTTGATCATTTACAAGCCACAGTAACAAGGGAGTAAGAAGCCGGTATATATAGGTGAGGGCGACAGGGATGGTACAGAGAGAAGAAAACAGTAGTAGTGATAATGTTAAGGCTAGTAGTGGAAGTACTACTACTACTACTACCACTACCATCATTACTACTGCCACCATTTCAATGTTCTTCCTCTCTCTGTCCTGTCCATGTCCCCCTTGCTTATATATGCTGGCTTCTTCACTCCCTTGTGTTAGTGTGGCTTGCAAATGATCCAAGTCAGACCAAAATGGTGTCAGAATCTCTCTCCTGTGTGTGGGCTGTGTGTACAGTGGTACCTCGAGTTTCGGCCAAAATTTGTTCCAGAAGGTTGTTCGAGTGTCGTTACCAAACGAATTTGTTCCCATGAGGAATAATGCAAATTAGATTAGTCCATTTCAGACCCCCAAAAATGCACTTACAATAATACACTTACATAACTGTTCAAGTTGGGAGCTGTACAAAACTTGGGGTACCACTGTGTAATGGGGAGTAATAAGCCATTGAAATTGTCATAATGGGGAGTAATAAGCCAATGAGGGCATATCATATGATGCCTGGGGAATGGATTAGCTAATCAGATTTCATCCAGGGAAGGGGAGAGAGTAACTCCAATTTCTCAACTGAGAGCCCTCCCCACCCCCAGGGGGTTTCCTAGCTGACGTTCATGTCTCATGGCATAAATGATACTGGATACTGAGGTATGAAATAACCTGTGGAAAAACACAAAATGCAATCACTTAGGACATTTAGTAATAATGGCGGAATTTCCAGCAAGATGTCAGGTAACAGGATATAGATGCAACTAATACATTTTATTGTGAAATGTTTTGCTCTCCAGGAGCTTTCATCAAGCCGATACCAAGCTGGCTTGACCTTCCGGCATCCCAAAAAATTTTGTTTTCAGTCATCTCGAATGGACCTCCCAAATAAATTTGGTCCTCCACTGTAGGTCTAAAGACTTGTTAATTGAAAACATTTTGGCCAAGGGTCACTCCAAATGTACATTTCGAATGAAATGCTTCTGGCAAACAAATTATTGCATTTTGTGCCTTTCTTCCTAAGTCATCTCATCTCATCTTTGTTAGAGGTTTTCTATTAAAAAGAATTGGTATCATTTTGTGTACAACTTTTTTCTGAACCTTACTGTCTTCAACAAAATGACATTTAAAAAATTCTTTACATTTTCCCATATACAATATAATAATTAAGTGGTAAGCCCAAAAGGTTCACCATATACAATGGGTTTAAAACATAAAAGGCCTTAGCATTTTTAAAAGCATCAACAGAATAAACAATTTATGATCTCCCTGGAACTCTAAGTACTGTACCCGATAAAACTCCAAGGACTAAACACTAAATGAAAAACGCAAAAAAAGGCTTATTTTGTTGACATCTTTGATTCACCATTTGCCACCTTTTGCCCAAGTTGCACATTTTGAAAAGCAATATTGGTAATGAGGGAAAAAATATGAATACATATACAAAGGCAAATATTTCACGAGAATAAAACCAGACTGGTTCCTTTTTTCATTATAAAGACTTCCAGCACAAAAGGAACTACTATATTCATAAATGGAAGCTACTAAACAAAAACTGACATCAAATAATAGTTTATAAAAATATATACATTGGAACCTCGGTTATTGGCTGTTCCGGATATCGGCCAACTTGGTTATCGCCCGGTTTTTGGGCCAAAATTTTAGTCTGTTTACCGGCTGTTATTTCGCTTATTGGCTGTACTGGACACATTCACCCGCCTGCCCGCTGCTCGCACATTCATGAGTCAGTCTGGCTGTCTCTCTGGGCAAGTGAGGAAACTTCTGCTCATTCCCATCAAAACATTTCACTATAATCCTTTGTTTTTTGTGGTTACTGATTGATTGCAACTGCAAAATAAGCAACCATGGGCCCAAAGAAAGTTCCTAGAAAAGTTCCTTTGGTAAAGAAAGTGAGAAACAATGGAATTTAAGAAAGAAGTTGTTGAAAAATACGAGAGTGGTGTTCAAGTGCTAGGATGTATGGGAAATCCAAATTAGCAATCATTTCCATCCTGGCAAAGAAAGTAGAAATCAAAGAAGCTAATATTGCAAAAGGGAATTTAGCAGGGAGGCAGGACCCCAATGGAAATAAGTCACTCTGACTTTTTTTGGGTTATCCTAAGTTCTTTACACATGCTGTGGAAGGGAGGCAGGAAGTGTAGCAGACAGACAGGGAGTGTAGCAACAAGTCTTCAATAAAGGTATGTAATAGTGAATTAAATGTTCAATTATTTTATTTAGTTCTCATTGTTTTGTGTATGTAAAACTATAATTAACAAAAAATACATTTTTTAAAGAATAAATATTTTTGGGTCTGGAATGGATTAATTGTATTTACATTAATTCTCATGGGAAATATTATTTTGGTTTTAGCCCATTTTGGTTTTAGGCCGACCTTCTGGAACGGATTACAGCCAATAACCGAGGGTTCACTAGTTTTAAATCCCTTTTACAATTCACAGTAACCCAAAACCTGAGCTCCAATAAAATACCAGTTAACTATTGTTTCATGGATAACAAATACCAGTTGGTTGTTGTTCCATGGATAACATTAACTCCATAATCTTGATCTCTAGACTTTAACAGTATAAAAAGGCCAAACATACCTGGGAGGTGAAGTGTGAATCAACAGCAATATTGTGCCCTACTCCATTCAAGAAATACTATGCCCTACTACATTAAAGAGCACGCTGGTCCTAATCAAATAATAATTGCCTTGATATGCAAATCGGAAGCTTGTTTCCCATCAAAAGCATAAGGGGTTCATCAAATATTTGTTTGATCATGGAATCAACTGATTTTGCCTTATTGTTTAGTGCATCAGCGTGCCCCAATATTCAGGATACAATGAGATAAATTTGAGAAGCTCCTGAAAGCACCAAGGTTGTACAATTCAAATCTGTATCAACACATGCTTCAATGGTGCCATGGCACACACAACAGTTCTTACCTGGTGTCATGCCAGATCTGCCTCCAAGTCTGGACGCAGAGATCCAACAACATTTACTGTGACTCAGATACTACGAGAGCTTACTAAAGTTTTCATGACACTCCGTGGGAAGAGCAAGGACCTAAAGCAATGAGCAGGTAATCCCAGACTGCAAGTTTGAATCCTGATCACTCCACAGAGAAATAGAATAAAATACAGACACGATGGAAAAAACACTGATGCATTGTATGTAATGAGATAAATTATTGGCATCTTGAAAAAGCCCACTGTGTGGACAAAATGTTATCAATAAATCTCTCAATACACTGACTGCATTTGTGTCTGCATCCTGTACACTCCACTAAAATATACAAGCAGTACACATTACCAATCCAGCTTTATTCTTCCTACATAAGAAAACAAATCTCAATCCCAATTAAATGGAAAATGGGAGGTAATCTGAGGAAAACAAGGGCACCTCCAATTCCTTTAATTAAAAACGGTTTCCCAGCATCAAGGCACCTTGAGTGGCCCAACAACAATAATATCCAGATGCAATAAACCAAAACTTCCGTTGTAGCTTTATCCTGTGTATATTAAGACTGAGTCTGCTTAAAGATGGGAAAATTTACTTACCTAATTCAGAAATTTAGCTTTTTCTTAAATGAGTCACTTACACAAATGCTATGAAAATACAAAGTGCCCATATTGGTTGCTATATAACTGCAACAATTCAATTAAAAGTTAAACTATATAATACAACAGTAAGCTCTCATATAAACTATTATACAAAGTGCATTTTTTCCAAATGCAAGTGACAAGTACAGTGGAACCCCGGATTTCGTCCGCACCGGTTATCCTACGATTCAGATTTCGACCACTGTATTCGGTGAAATTTTGCTCTGGATTTCGTACCTCGTCCCAGAAATAGTCCGAATCAGACGCATCCACCTGCCTGGGATGCCGCCACTCATGTACATCTCTCAATCTGGCTCTGTCACTGGTTGAGTGAGCATTCATCCGAAACATTTCATAATAATCCATTATTTTTTGCACTTGTTTATCGAGTGCGACTGTGAAATAAGCCACCATGGGCCCAAAGAAAGTTCCTAGTGCCAGCCCTTTGGTAAAGAAGGCAAGAAACACGATAAAATTCAAGAAAGAGATTGTAGAAAAATACGAGTGGCGTACGTGTGGCCAAGCTGGCCATCCTGGCAAAGAAAATAGAAATCAAGGAACTGATGTTGCAAAAGGGATAAATATGCTAATGAAACAGAGGTCACAAACAGTGATTAAGGACATTTGTGCAAAGTGGAATGAAGTGCAAACTTTTGTGGAAAAAATCACCTTGACCAAGCTGATACAAGCCGTATCTGCAACATGTTCAGTGACAATACCTTGTCCCATTTTAAGCAAATCTTAAAGAGATGCCAGAAACAGAGCTCGCTGGACAGATTTTTAGTGCAACAAGGGTCCAGTGCCAGTAAAAGACAAAAAAGGGAAGTAACCCCATACAGAGCTTTGATACCTGAAGTCCTTATGGAGCGGGATTCCCCTTCCAAACAATAACCTCGGCTCCTCCTCCCTCTCCCCTCCTTGCCATCCATACCCCAACAGAGTCTTCAATAAAGGTAAGTGTGATGTTAAATGTTCATTTATTCATTTCATTAGTTATTTATATTTTTTCTCATTGTTTTCTGTATGTAAAACTATAGCTTTTCTTTAAAAATGTATTGTTTGTTAATATTTTTGGGTGTCTGGAACGGATTAATTGTATTTACATTATTTATGGGAAATATTGCTTCGGTTTTTGTCCATTTCGGATTTAGACCGACCTGAAATGGATTAAGGACAAAATCCGGGGATCCACTGTACATCAAAAATTGATTAACAACTTACTATGAAGGCCTTTTCAAGTGTTATTCAATTTTGGAAAGTTTTCAATTGTATTTACAAAATATTCTGCAATATAAAGGAGCTTTATAACAGCTTTGCTGTATAGAGTTTCAGGTTAGGTTAGGTTAGGTTAGGTAAGGTTAGTCAGGAAACGGAATGAGTGCTTCCTGACGTGGGTCTTAAATCATACGATGACCAGCCATTGGAGCTTTTGGACATCAGGCCGAGGCCTTCCGCTGGAGTTCCAAGGTAATACTATATGCAGCCATTAAATCTCTTTCAAACAATGATACGTGATGAAGACACGGTACTGTGATTAGGCCTATTATCAATTCATGACTTTATAATGATCCAAGATGAACCAAAATGGCACGTGAATGTTTTCTTCTTCAAAATTTAGTCGAATAGTGAATCTGATAGTTTTTTTTTGACATTTTACACAAATGAAGGAAGGCAGTAGCAACATTTGCAGAGCATTCAAACCTACGAGGTTCAGATGTTCTCCAAATATTCACTGGTAGTAAATATGAATGACCAGGTGCAAGCATAATTCGATTCTGTTAATTTTTATTACTATTAAAAGTAATTCTCCTACAACTGCTATACTATCTTACTTCTACAATTTCTGTACTATTAACAGCATTACTTCAACTACCACTACTACTACTATAACTTCCATTACTACTGATAAGTTTCTACTAATCCATTATGGTGGGTACAATAAACAGATATAAACATTCGTTCCTTTCATATTATTTTCCATAATTAGTAAGTCATGTTTCGAAACCCAAAAAGTTTAACAAATTGTCTAAACATGACCACAAATTCATCAGTCAATCAAACGGTACTGAGGTACCGAGTGATTAAACAGCCGCAAGAAATGGTTTAGGAGGTAGCAACAGCAAAACGATAGGTTGCAATATTGATGATTTTTTGCCGAAAAACATGGGACAAGTTGCACCACCCCATACATAAAAATTTGGAACCGACAAATTTTATTAATGTACACATCTCCAATTTACAAATGGGGGTATTACTGGGTTTTTAACTTACAAAGCGATTTCTCCAATGAAACTTTTCTGTATACTGTAGTTTTAGTAAATGCAACTGAATAGGTGCATGCAAAATTGAAAAATACATTGGATACATTCTTTCAATTGCATTTACAAAAAATAACACTACAGAGGAGTTTTATCACATAGCTTACTGTATATAAAAGAATAGTGCAAAGAATAGCTATGTTTTACATTTATGTTCTCTGTAGGTGAATGTTAAGCGACTCATTTGTAAATGCAGGTGTACGAGAGGGTGTTTGTAAATTGGACCCTCTTATATTCACAAAAATGTGCAAAACCTGTGCTAACCACTGATAATTCTTCAAGGCCATAAGCGGAGAGGGATTTGGAATGAAGTTGCTTGAACCAGCTGTTGCAATGGCTGTCACTGCTGTTACTACCGCTACCACCAGTCCTGTTGACATTCGACAGAGTGCAGTTGACACAAATACCCTACCATTGCCTGAGTAATGGGGCATAACACTCAGACCCTGCTATCCCATCTATAGAAAAGGACACTTGTACACTGTCCAGGACATTTAGCAAAGGAAGTGGTTTTGCAATTTCCTTAACAATGTCCTGAACTGTACACAGTTGTCCTTTTCGACCATTTGTCGGCATCACCATGCCACTGACAACTATCCCAACTATCGATTCACATAACATGAAATTCTAAAATTATTTGTTGAGGAAACGAACTACCAGGACCTAAGATAAATAATGGTGCAGTCATTTTCCGTACATGAATCAGGAGGCAGATATTGTTTACGAACAAAATATCCCTGTGAGGTAATATTTACAAGAGCACAAGCTTAGAAAGTCAAGCCAAGCCAAGGCAAGGCAGGGCCATGAATCACAAAATCGCCACGTTTTCCAAACCCACTCCGGAAAAACAAATTTCGTTAAAAAAAAAAAAAAAAAACACGTTTTGCAGATGGCCATGAAGATGGAATTACAATTTACAACTACATACTCTAAAAACCAAAAGCATGTCAGTAGGTCTTTTTTTGGCAATGTCAGATAAAACAGCAAACCATTTTCTGATAGTGTAAAAGTATCATGTCTAGTGAAATGACATTATAAAACATCTATTACTACTGTACATGAAGACCTTGAAGATCTACATAAAAGGCCATTCTTGACTTTTATTTGCAGTATATAATTTTTTCACAGTTTTTGAAGTAGCCTATTACTTCTGATAGTGCAAATACACATGACTACATTTCACATGTACACCACTAATCCCTAATGTTTTAATCCTTAAAATAGGGATGAAAGTAAATACTCAGTGTGTATATATACTGATGTATACACTTCTCAATGTACACAAATATATCTCTCAGTACTGTATACAGACTGTACACAGTACAGTATGTACTATGTACAGCCCACTAACCTATCTTATTCCTCATCTACACCCAGCCTATGCACTGTATACAAAGACACTTCTCAATGTGTTCCACTATAATAACTCCAATATACACAGTAAGCATGAATCTCACACTCACAATCAACCTTAGTCGAGCCTCATCGCCTCGGAGATTCTTGAAAGGTTCGGTGAATCACAAGAGAAAATTTTAAGAGAAGTCTGACTGTTTCAACTCAGAAAATTGACAAGTGTTGAATCTTGAAACTGTTTCAACAAGCTTAAGGCTAAACATTTAAAACTAACACTGAAAATTAAGCACAATATATGAAACATTTATCACGATAAATTTACAATTACAAAGAAACCTTTCCAGTAAATGTTCTTTACTTCATGTTCTTGTTAACACTTTCTGAGGTGTCAAAATAGATAGCACTATCAACAAAATTTAAACATGTCAAGATCTGTATTTCATATATTTTCTAATAGACAGCAATTCTAAATTAATATTAATATAACAAAATACTTTATATACCATACTGCACAAAACTGTACAATGTATAAAATATTATACATTACAGGGGATATACAACAGATGTCGACATAATCGAATTTTTAGGTAATTTTAATGCCTTCCTATAAGAGACTGTGAAATTGAACAAATTTTACTGATGGCATAAGCCTCGTAACTTTTTTAACAAAGACCTCTATAATGAAGGAATGTTTAATATCCTAAGTGGAATCCCATGGAACCGTCTTCGTGGTATGCTAGACAAGGATGAATCAGTCTGGTTCCTCACAAGCAATTAATGCACGAAACATCAAAGACACATTCACTATCAATACATTCCTATTTTCTGATGCATTCAGTTAGCTGTCTGTGGAGGCACATGCCTGTGAAATACCTCTGACTGGGTCTGAAGGTTCTTACTCCCTTCACACCTGGTCCAATGCCTGGCTTCCCTGATTACTTGATCACCATGGCTGATGCTGCTAGTACTCTGGAGGCCCACAAACACACCACAATCTGGCTCACCAGGCACTTCCAGCAGGTAGCAGAAGTGCCTGGCTCACCAGGCACTTCTGCTACCTTCTTCCACTTCTTCCAGTGGTGTCATTTTCAGTCAATTCAGCTGCAGGTACTTTCTACTTGTCTAGTATTGCAGTCCTTACTATTAATTAATATTGATTTTTTCCTCATTCTGCAAGATGCTGCACAATGGCTCAAGTATCAGCAGTATAGCTGTAAGAAAGAACTATGGAATTCCAAGCATATCTTGCACTAGATAAATTACTGTGGCATTATAGAACAATGGTTAATTTTAATAGTAAATTCTCTTGGAAGACACAATAGTATTTTCAAAAGGTTGTTGGTCAAAATAGTGGGAATTTCAATGTAGGAAATGCTTCATTTCTAGAGGACTTAAGTATTGGGTTAAGTTTACAAAACTGACAAGAAGTCGAATAAGACACATGTGCAACACCCGGATCTGTATATATTGTCCCAAGCTGAGGAACTGATCACCTCAAACTTCCATTGTCTCCATTATTATTCTCTGCATTGGACTGATAAAGCCACTGGTTGGCAAAATGCTTCTACAATAAAGATACCTTAGTTTTGCACACGAGTCTTATTCATCTATCTGAACCATTTAGGTCATTCCATATTACTTGTAGTACGTATCGCGTTCTGTAGTGTATGATGGAAGTTTACTCACAGGGCGCTCTAGTATAGGCACAGTACGTGTGGTGGGAGGCAGTGGTGGTTCAAGCAGACTTTGTCTACCGCTGTATGGTGCTGTATACGAACTAGGCGGTGCTGATGGTTTGTCATAAGAATACCTGTTATCGTAACGTGACTCTGATGTCTCTAACAAGTTAGGTTTGCTTGTGTTAAGGGATGTCGCTGGTTCATTATAATACTTGTTTTCAAACCTTGAGTCTGAAGTCTCTAACAAATTTGAATGTGGATTTAGTGAATCTCTGGAATTATAGGATGAAACATGATTGCTGAAATTGGAGGGTTCACTCTTGTTAGGTGCTGTAGTATACGAGTACTGCGAAGAGGCATTATCATAGTATCTTGTATTCGAAGGTACTTCAGGACTGTAATATTTTGGAGGTTCATTTAATAAAGGCATTTTACTCAACGATGATGAAGGGACGCTGAAATCTTGAGGCTCGCTAGCTGAATATTTCACTGTGGATGATTGATCAGTGGTGTAGTTAGTTGATTCGTTCTGTGGGTATCTTACGTAAGACGTCGAAGGCACGTTTGATGGGTCTGGGGGTTCATTCCATGAATACCCTGTATCACTATTACCAGCTCCACTAGCTGAGTATCTAGTATCATTATTACCATTTCCACTAGTGGAATATCTTGCATCATTACTAATTACGTTAGTAGAGTACCTTGTGTCAGTGTTACCAACCCCAATAGCAGAGTACCTAGTGTCAGTGTTACCAACTCCAACAGTAGAGTACCTCGTGTCAGTGTTACTAACTCCAACAGTAGAATATCTTGTCTCACTGTTATCAATTCCAGTAGTACTATATTTTGAAGTCTCATTTGTCGAATATCTCGGAACACCCTGAGGTGGAACAGGGGCAGTGAAGTAGCCAGACTGTCCTGAAGCCCTGAGAGTGTCAGAGGGTTCATTTAATGAGTACCGAAGAGGCTCGTATGGCTTTGTAAGCAAGCTGGGAAAATCCGAGGAGCCATTCAGTGAATATTTCATATCTGGAACGGGAGTACTGTAATAACCAGAATATTCATTTGCTGGATATTTGGGAACGTTTGACGTCGCCTGGTTGTTTAAGTATGGCGATTCGTTTTGTGAATATTTGGTATTATAAGCTCCTTGTGTGCCTACGATGGATGAATGCTCATTGTATGAAGATCGAACATCAGACACTGGTGCATTACTAAAGGATGGTCTGTTCTGCGAAACACTCGTGGGTTCAGATCTCACAGGTTCGGATCTTAAAGAAGTGCTGTAAGAAGGCTTAGGATAATCTAATGAATGCTGCCTAACATCAGATGTTAAAGGGCTGTAAAAACCTGAAGAATCATGTAGGCGATGCCTCTCATTGACAGCCGAACTATACGGTTGCTGAGTGTCACTCGTGCCTCTTGGCATAATCTGGTTAAGCATCGTATCTGGAAAGATAATGAGAAGAGTACAATAGAAATGACTGCATGATGCATACAATAATTAAGGTGAAAACTTTTATACATTGTAAAATGCATTGCTTATGAACCTGAAAAAAAAGTGGTTCAGCAAATGAACCACAAAATTTAAATAAAACTAGATGCCTTTTTGGTCCAGCCTAGTTCATTAAGTTTCGAATGAGAAACGAAAAAAAAGAGACAACAGATCTGGTGAATAAAGTTAAGGAGACAGCCAAGGTTAGGTGAGAAATGGGGATATGTACAGACACTATATAGTGAAAAAAGGACAGGAGACAGCCAAGTTTAGGTGCAGGAGAAGAGAAAGCCAAGGTCAAATCAGGAGGGCGACCACTAAAGGTTAATTTGTGAGTTAGTTGTGAATTGTTGCATCCATAGTATTGTGACTTTATTGTTCCTTCTGCCTTCTTTTGCTAAGTGGAATATTCAGAACATACCAAGTGTACCACTACAAAAAACATTATTATTATAATAAAAGCACTATGGAGCAAGGGGCTAGTAACCCCTTATCGTATAAATTACTAAATTTAAAACAAAAAACTTTTGTTTTACTTTTTGGGCCGCCCTGCTTTGGTGGGATACGGCTGGTTTGTTGAAAAAAGAACAGAACCACTAAACCCATGGGGATCATACAACTCCTGAGAAATGAGAGGTAATCAGGTCTGATCAATGGACGGGGAGAGTAGTTCATATTTCTGATTCATATTTCATGCCATGCTCGTGCTGCCACCTATAGGCCCATACCCAGTTCTGAAACACCATGCTTACACCGCTCTCACTTAGCATCCAGGCATCCTAGAGTCAACAAGGCCTACTCTTGTCGGTTCTCTGAACCATTCATCTACATTCCTGTCTGACATAGCAACATCTTGGGATTTTAATACAGGGAATTCTTCACTTGCATAACCCTTGGGCATGACCTACTTCCACATTGGACAAATGTGATACCACCTATGACTGCTGCACCTCTCCTGCCTATGGTATATAAGCTACTTCACACATATGCTGTATTCTTTTCAAGGTTGATAGACTGACCACACCGACTCAAGGCTGAGGGACTGATTACCTCAAACTCCTCCTGTTCTTCAACGCTCTCCTTTGTATGGACTGATGAAGCCACTGTGTGGCGAAACATTTCCTCAATAAAAATACCCAAGTGTTGCACATGTGGCTAATTTATCAAGGCCTACTCTTCTCTCCCTCACGGGCATGGCCCCTGGGCACTAACACACTGCCTGTGTACCCACGATTTCACAAATAAAGTAAGAAGCCTCCAAAGCCTTATCATTGCTCCCCGCCTGCAGCAAACAACATTGGTGGAAGCAGTGGTCACAGCAGATGTTTGCAAGAGAGAAGGAAGGGGGATGAAGTTGTCTTCACTTCATCACCCCATACAAGAAGCATCCGTCTCTCAACGAGTTATCCTAAAGTTGTGTCTGCAAGTCTCAGCATCCAGACATAGGTACAAGCAGGATCCAGCCGAACAGCATCCCATGCTGTTTCAAGTCAAGTGTAAGGGTCTGCTAATGGTTTCAGCTCAGCACGGCTATTTCAGCAAGTCAGAGGTGAGTTAGTGGTGATTTCTGTGCCAGTGTGGCAGAATCTGCACTATCTTCCACGTGTGTATGGGTGAGGAAGGTAGGCGTACGATCCTGGCTCCACCATACGCCACTCACCCATGCTCACCCACTGTATGCCACCATACTACTCTCCACTATGTACTCACTCCCTCTCTGATGTTTTTCTGAATTCAGTGTGAATTTTTTGCCAGAGCTGTGTATCCGAGTGCCCGAGGTCACTCGAAGCCACGTGGATCATGTACCCACATGTGGATGAAGCCATGTGGAGCAAGCCACATGGGTGTAGATGAAACCACATGGGTTACTAAGTGAGTTACCCAAGCCACATGCTGCCTGGCATCACCCTTAATGTCACCTCGCGATGTCTGCCTGACGTCACTGCAATGTCACCCCATGACATCCCTCACAGCATCACCTTGCAACGTTTGTTGATGTCACCCACGATGCTCCCCAACTTCATGACATCACCATGTTGCCCTGACATCACCCCATGACATCACTCCAGGATGTTACCTTGAGACATCTGCTGACATCACCTTGCGTTGTCACCCCACGACGTCACGCCTGACCCCGCATGTCACACTGAGTGTTCTAGTTTCACATTTTGTTTCAGTAATGCCTAGAAGATTGAGAGAAGGTATATGTCATGTGTTAATTAATTCTTCTCAGTGTTCTCACATGTTCATGTATGGCTTAGTGTCGATTTTTGCACAGAAAAGCATCATTTGCTTAAGCCATGTTGTACCGCATGTGCAGTAGGTGTGTGCAAGTTTTACGCGTGTCCCTGATTAAGTGATCTGTGCCCAGATGTGTGTGTAGACCACACCATTTGAGCCCATCACTGTGTAGCACCTTGTGTTGTCACCCAGTGTGACCAATGACAACTGGCATTTAGTCAGTCCCGGCATCAGTTACGAACATCTGAGCCCCTTGTACAGAAAGCTCTTTATGTTTGCCGCTCGTAGATGCCCTGCTGAATCGTACCCGCTATGATTCCCCATCGAGAGACTTTCCACTTCACCTCCTGAACCATCAGTGCAGTTATATGTAGCAAACCAGTCTAAGGATGCTTAGACTAGCCTCTGCTATAACTCCAACTGTCGAGAGAATAGCTTCAGTGAGCAGCCTGCACAAATTTGATAACACTTTGACTGCTAGCCCACTCACTGCAGTACAGTGTATGATGTTACAACTTCCAGATGTTTCGCCGAGTTGTCTCTGCCACAACTCACTCCACACCCGCCAGCAGTGACAGCCTCAGCGACAGTACCAGTCGAGAAATGTTCTCCAGAGTCACTTGCCAGAAGAAGTCCTGCCCAGTTGCCGAGTACTTACGACACCTCACTTGAGGGTACCAGCAGGTTGTGCCCCAGGATGAGTGAACCCTGCAGCAACTACTATGATGACTGCTTCATGGTTCCAGCTCAGTCGCAGCTATGTCTCCTGTGTTGCAGTATCTGTCCAGACGCAGGAAGGCGTGTAGTGATGCCCATCGACGCTCACTGCTTTGGACCACAATGCTTTTTAGCACACCCCACCTTAATTTTCTTCCCTCAATGTAGGAAGTTTGGTTCCCCATGTCCATATGTATATATATTTATTCTGTGTTCTGTGCCCTGTTCCTGCAAGAGTGAAACCAAGTTTTTATTACAGTCAGTCATGGTCGAGGACAACCATGTGGTGGTGGCCCAGCGAATGTAGACAGCCTATGCTGTCTGCCAGCTGAATTCATATTTCGTGCCATGCTCATGCTGCCACCTATAGACCCGTACCCTGTTCAGAAACTCCGCTCTCACTTAGCGTCCAGGCATCCTAGAGTCAACAAGGCCAACTCCTCTCTCCCTCATGGGCATGGCCTCTGGGGGCCATGGGCACTAACACACTGCCTGCGTACCCACGGTTACACAAATAAAGTAAGAAGCATCCGAAACCTTATCATTGCTCCCCGCCTGCAGCAAACATAATTAACCAGAAAACAGCCCTTCACCATCATAAAGCATCTCAAGATCATCTGGCTTATTCATATACAACTAAGTATATTTTATGATGCTGATACGAGTTCCTAAAGGATTATTATTACTAACCATTATTTTGAAATCAATGCCCATACCCTCCTGACAAGGCAGGTGAACTGTGAGCTCTCTCTCAGAGTGCAGGCACTCTGGACTCTGGTTTCTGGTTTCTGCTGAATCCCTTTATAAAAGGTACCTTCCTCTCACTCCAACATCACATCCATTGAAACTTACTTGTCTCCATGCACTTCTATCTAACTTACTGACACAGATCTGCTGGGCATTCATCATTATCATTACTATATTTTTTTAACACACTGGCTGTCTCTCACCGAGGCAGGGTGATCCAAAGAAGAAATGCTTTCACCATCATTCACACTATCACTTTCTTGCCAGAGGCGCACAGATATGACTATTATTATATACAGGGAAAGCATTAAACCTGAGGTTTATGGGGAATGGGAGGCAAACATGATTGATCCAAGGAAGGGAAAAAGATCTGATACCTGCATCAAGACCCTTCCCCCTTATAGGCATCAAGGAACCTCCCATGAAGGGAGGGTTCTACAGGAAGTCTCTTGAAGATTAGAATTTTATTTTTTTCAAATTCTCTTACCTGTGGGAGCTAATATTAATTGGATGTGAAATTATTAAACCTCACAAAGACAATCTAAATGTATGTGATAATGGAAAGGTTGAGATAGAATAATGTTCGCAGCATTTAAAAATAATAGCAGCTTAAGGAGTGTGACATTAACAAGAGTTTAGTGAGAGTAATATTAGTACAGTGGACCCCCGGTTAACGATATTTTTTCATTCCAGAAGTATGTTCAGGTGCCAGTACTGACCGAATTTTTTCCCATAAGGAATATTGTGAAGTACGTTAGTCCAATTCAGATCCCCAAACATACACGTACAAACGCACTTACATAAATACACTTACATAATTGGTCGCATTTGGAGGTGATCGTTAAGTGGGGGTCCACTGTATTAGTGTTAAATGAGTTTAGTAGAAATAATGTTAGCAAATTTAGTAGGAGCAATGCTAGCAGATATTAGCAAGAATAATAAGAGAAAACTCTGCATACACACACACAAAAATAAATCAATCGAACTACTTACTGGAGTTCTCCTTTTGCTTTTTTATCCTCTCTTTCCAATTCCATGATACAGGAATTGTATTGGGGCTGCTGGGATCGCTGTCGAAGAAAAAAAAATGATGAAACATTCATAGCTGTGAGAGGAGGGTTTGCCTGATGCCATCACATTATACTAAGTTTGCGTTTATTTTTTTATCATGGCGGTGTTTTATACCTTTTATCTCCAACTTTTCTCCATGATGAAGTGGAACAGAATTCTTCCTCCGTAAGCCATGTGTGTCATAAAAGGCGATTAAAATATTGGGAGCAAGGGGCTAGTAACCCCTTTTTCTGCATAAATTACTAAATTTAAATAGAGAAACTTTTGTTTTTCTTTTTGGGCCACCCTGCCTTGGTGGGATACGACCGGTTTGTTGCAAGAAGAATATCTCCAACTTTCCCTCAGATCAAGAACCCTTCTCTAGCATCAAGACCTCCCCCAGTGAAGAAACATTCATTGATGGACATAGAGGCGGGCCCCTCTTTACAGCGTTACGCTAATACAGCAGATTTCAATTATACCCAGTCTTCATTTATTCAGGCTTCCTACAATGAATATATTCACCACTCACTATAAGCTAAGTATGAAAATATTGTAAGGTAAGTAATATGTGTGTTCTGTATATGCATTTTATAGGCCTAACTTTATTGCTCACTTAATATACGATTGTGTAAACATGTTATATTGGGCTTTTATATGTCTTTGAAAGTGAAGAAAGGCTATATTTCACTTAGCAGCAGTAGCCCAAGAACCCAACCTACTGTATAAGTGGGGCCCCCTGTACTGCAGAGTAATAGTAAGCATTAGAGAACATACAGGGAAGAATGACTAAAATGATTTACTGTGTAAGGAACCTCCCGTATGAAGATAGACTTAAAGCCTTAAATCTCCACTCTCTGGAGAGGCGTAGAATGAGGGGAGATATCATTGAAGTGTATAAGTGGATGACAGGCATAAACAAGGGAGACATTAATAAAGTACTGAGGGTGTCAAACCAGGTAAGAACCAGGAATAATGGATTTAAGTTGGATAAATTTAGATTTAGAAAGGACATAGGTAAGTACTGGTTTTCTAACAGAGTTGTAGATGCGTGGAACAGTCTTCCCAGTGGGGTGATAGAGGCTAGGACCTTGGGTAGCTTTAAGAAGAGACTGGACAAATATATGAGTGGGAGGGGCTGGGTTTAATTGGTGTCAAGGGGTACGGGAGTTATTTCTCGAGTAGCTTTAGGTAGATGTCGTTTTGATAAGGACCTGCCTCGTATGGGCCAGTAGGCCTTCTGCAGTGTTCCTACATTCTTATGTTCTTATGTTCTTATTACAATCACAGGAAACCTTAAAAAAAAAAAAAATATGAAACAATTTGTGAAAATGGACCACCACAAGCACAGCTCTGCCTCCTGCAGCAATGGATGATTTACAAGTAAATACTTGCCTGATTTCAAAGGGAATTCTATGGCCTAAGATTCCACTACTTCCTGGGTTCCAGCTTTTCTTGTCCGCAGCACTGTCCCGTCCAAAGCTCCAGCTGCGTTGTCCTGCAATGTGAATGCTGATCTTAATTACATCTTTGATCTGGAATATGTTATTTACACGCACAAACAGAAATACAAAAAGACTTCAATATAATGGACCTTAATATAACAAAATCCACTGGATAAATCGTACACTTAACTCGTTTATTTTTATATTTATTGCAGTAGATCTGTAAACTTTATGTACAGTATATAGTCAGCAAATTTATTTAGGTACAGGTACTCATTAAGCACAGCTACACAAATTTTGGGAATTATAATTATTGTATACAGTAAAATGTGTGTAAATTACCCAGGGTAACCCCCCAAAAAAGTCAAATGAAGTGACTTATTTCCACTGGGGTCCTGTAATATCTTATTATTTAAAGCCTAGCTATAAGATACAGTAGAAATTAGCCATGATTATTACCATAAGAATTAAAATTAAGCAACTCAACTGTGAGAATCAGTTACAGTACTAAGAGGTACAATAGAATAAAGTAACCTGAGTTATTTACATAACATTAAAATAGAGAAAAATCAGCTTACAATAATAGGTATACCAATGTTAACTATACAGGAAATCACTCTCCTCCCTTTCTGAAGCTTCATTAAGCACCTTTCAGTTGTCTTCCTGAATTGGCTCATGCGGGGAGCGGTTCTGACATATTCAGGCAATCTGTTTCACTCCTTTACTGCCGTATAATAAAAGGTGTTTGAGGCCTGACCACCTACTGTTAGTACTACAAAACTGTGTTTACTTCCCCTACTGCCATATTGGGTTTGGTTCCTAACCTTGAAAACCTTGGCAACAAGATATTCTGGGTACTTCTTGTGAATCATGTACTTAAGTGCATTTTCTTCATTTTTTTTTAAACATTATTCTGATTTAATGGACCATTGAAGAATCTTCTCCATTAGTCTATTATTAGGTAAATAAGCCCTAAACCTGTAGGGGGTCATACATCACCTGGGGGAAAAGGTTTGATCAAAGGGAAGAGTAACTCCAATTCCTTAGATCAAGAGATCTTTACCAGCATCAAGGCACCCTATCACAAAGGTAAAAATACATGAAATCTTATTTAACCCTTTCAGGGTCCGTCCCGTAGATCTACGGCTTCACGGTGAGTGTCCAAACCGTAGATCTACGCCATGAGCTCAGCTCACTCTGATAAACTGTGAGTGGTACATTTGGGCCTAGATATGAGAGAATACATCTATGTGGTATGTGTGCACCACATAAAACAGATCCTGCAGCACACTGTGTATAATGAGAGAAAAAAAACTGAGACCGTGATTTTCGATTAAAACAGCTACTTTGCAGTGTTTTTTCGTATGTTTTTTTATAGTTGTATTTGTGATTTCTTAGTCTCATTTGATAGAAAGGAGACATATCATAGAAATAGAGGGTAATTTTGATTGGTGTTAGCACTGGAAATGGCTTCAAACTGAGCCAAAAATGGCGGAAATGTTAAATTTTTGCCGAGTTCAAGAGTAAACAAACGACCTCACACGTCTTATACATGCCAGCTGGTGGGTCTAATATACATTCACAAATGTGGTGATGATATTTATACAATTATTACAATATTGCATAACAGTGAATCTTCTATTTTTTGGTGTGAATAAAAATTCATTTGAATAAAAATTCAAAATGGAATTTATTTGTAAAGCCTCAAAACATAACTAATGAACAGAGGAAATGTTAGTTTAGTGCCAGGAATACCTACATTGTTTATTCTGGACCCTATTTTGAAATTGGAATATTTTGAACTTTGTGTTAAATTGGCCAAATTAACATTTCCGATCACTTTATTTTGTAGTTGAAACAGTTGACTTGGCGATTTCTTGTGCTCAATCGATAGAATAGAAGTAATACTAGTGAAATAGCTAAGAATTTGGTTGATTGGAATAATGTAATTGGCCTAAAATGGGAGTCAAAGTCGGCAAAATCGCCGATTCGTAAATATTGCTGACACATCAAAATTCGCGAGAGCATAATTTCGTCAATTTTCCACCAAATTTTGTACTTTTTGTTTTATTACCTTCACAAAAAGATTCTCTACGATTTCATAAGAAAAAATAACAAATTTTTTTTTTTAAATTCTTGGACACTGGTGCATGACTCCAGATTTGGGCCTTGGACCCTGAAAGGGTTAAAATTCACAACTAACCCATAATATACAGCGAAATCTTTAGACTACCTTTTAGTCCATCCTCTTGACAGAGAAAAACAGAAAACAAGACTCAGGTCAGTAGTCTAGGACACACCAAAAGAGTTCCCTGGACTTAAGTTATCTGGTAGAGGTTGATCCAGTCTCAGACTTGGCCTCCTAGCAAAATTATAGAATTAAGAACCATTGAGAACATAAGAAAGCAAAGGCTATGTGTATACTGAATGCAAGTGGAAGTTTGTAAGATATACCAGGCATTTTACTTGCTCGTGAGACAAAGAACTGATTAGCAATACTGCTAGAGTGCAAAAAAATTAAAGTTTCCATTTCACACTTACTGCGTTAGTTGTGAATTGTGCGAGTCATGTTATTGTGACTAATTCTTAATGTACTGACGATCATTCTATCAGATATCAACATGGTATACAAAACCAAGTAGTTAAATAAGACACATGTGCAACACCTGTGTAGCTTTACTGTGGAGATGCTTCACCAACACCCGGTGATAAAGTTACTCTGGTGAAACATCATGATAAGGATACCCAGGTGTCGCATGTGTCTTATTCACGTAGCATTTCTCAACTGTTAATGGACCTGAATAACTTACCTAGTAATGGTTCTCTTCGTTCACTCTTGTTTTTAGACAGTCCACCCAAGTTGCCAACAGTACTGCCTCTGTAAATCAAAAATAATCCTATGATCTATTCCTGTAGCAAAACAAAGATAACTAGTACAGTGGACCCTCGACTAACGATCAGCTCCCAACTCGACCAGTTATGTAAGTGTATTTTTGTAAGTGCTTTTGTACGTGAATTTTTGGGGGTCTGAAACGGACTAATCTATTTCACAATATTCCTTATGGGAACAAATTCGGTCGGTAACGGCACCCAAACAGACGTCTGAAATGAAATAATATCATTAGTCGAGGGTCCACTGTACTCTTGCAGAAAGTGTACAAAAAATGTACAAAAGCTCTGGAACTGTGTGTGATAGATGAAAAGTTTTGCAGAAAAATTTGTTGCATATCTCACTCTGCAAAGCAGAGGTTAAACCGAGTTTTACGACTCATTCGCTGAAGGTTCAAACCTTACCCATTCTGTATTTTTTTTCAGTATGTTTGTCACTACAAATGTATGAAGCCACCAATGCTGTAGTTGACATGCCATTATTTGTGTTTGTAAATTATAACTATAAATCTTCTATTGAAGAATACAGCCTTTCCTCACTTAGCGATGTACTCGTTTACCGACGCCTCGGACTTAAGACAGGCTCTCTGACCAGTATTCATACCTAAATAATGTATATCAGAGCTGAGTTCCTCTATTCTGTTTATTTCAATATACAGTACACTACCGTAAACACATTTAAAAATATACCAGAAATGTTATAAATGGTGCAAAGGTGACATTAAAACAATATCAAAGATGGTTGACAAACTCACTACCATTATAGTATGCTCCACACTTAGCGACGAATTCGTTTAGCCTGTAAACGGTCCAAGCAGATCTACGTTCACGTGTGTAGTGCTACAAAAGTAGATCTACGTTTTGTTTACATATTTTCAAATACAGTGGACCCCCGCTTAACGATCACCTCCAAATGCGACCAATTATGTAAGTGTATTTATGTAAGTGCGTTTGTACGTGTATGTTTGGGGGTCTGAAATAGACTAATCTACTTCACAATATTCCTTATGGGAACAAATTCGGTCAGTACTGGCACCTGAACATACTACTGGAATGAAAAAAGTTCGTTAACCGGGGTCCACTGTATAACAAAAAAAAAAAAAGTAGATCAAAATTTTTTTACACATTTTCAAATGTAAAAAAACAAAAAGATCTACTTTTTTTTACATACCTTCAAATGCTGAAAAAACGTACATATACGTTTGCACCGTTTACGGGTTAACGACATGGTCTTAGCAACGAACTCCGCCGTTAAGTGAGGAGAGGCTGTACAAGCTTATTTGCGAGCCTCTTCCTACCAAACCACGAGTAAAGAAATATTAAATTTTATCAACTCATTCATGAAAAAATATGAAAAATTCTTGTATTTATGGAGCTGTAGTTATTATAGGAATAATGTCTGGCGCTAAGACACGAATAAAAAAATAAAGCTCTTTATACACAACCATTGTTATTATCATGCATTTGCATAACAACAACATATGTTCTAGTGTTTGCTTATGTTTTAAACCAATATAATTTTAAGGCTGCCTGAAATGCTCTGCATAACCAGAAGCTTTCTAAAAAGGATGTCAATAATGTTAACTATAAATCAATTGTATATCACACTTTCTAGATATAAAAATTATCATTAAGTAGGTTAATTAGAAAAGTACATGAGTGGGCATGGGCAGTGTGACTTGGACCTGCCTAGCATGGGCCAGAAGGTCTGCTGCAGTGCTCCTTCCTGTGTTCCAAGTATGGAAAATGATATCCACTTGCTGGAAACATCAAATGTTGACCTGTCATCCAGAAGAAAAAGCAGTCGCATTCAAATCCTTGAACATTTATTTCTCTTATTAGCCATTAGTTACCCAATCAATAACCAACATTTTTTTATACCTCATCAGTTATTTCCCACCAAAGTAAGGTGACCCGAAAAAGAAATGCTACAATGTCATTAATTCACTCGCTGTCTTCCTTCGCAGTTCAGATGACCCTCTGAATTCAAAATCTCCACCCCTCCTTCAGTGTAGGGAGTATAAGTTAAATTACTGTTTTTTTTTTTTTTAACAAACTGGCCATATCCCACCAAGGCAGGGTGGCCCAAAAAGAAAAACAAAAGTTTCTCTTTTCAAATTTAGTAATTTATATTAGAGAAGGGGTTATACTAGCCCCTTGCCCCTGGCATTTTAGTCGCCTCTTACAACACTCATGGCTTACGGAGGAAGAATTCTGTTCCACTTCCCCATGGAGATAAGTGGAAATAAACAAGAACAAGAACTAGAAAGAAAATAGCAGAAAACCCAGATGGGTGTGTATATACACCTACCATCCGACTTACGACCTGCTCGACTTACGACCACTAGACTTACGACCGTGTTTTTTATGCCAAATTTCTGGGAAATAAACAACTATTTGTGTTGTACACAGTGTTTATCCTAAACCTTACAGTATAAAATACAGTACTAACAGCATAAAAAGTAAAGTAAAACATGAAATACCAAAATAAAACAATAAAATAAAGTCATTACAAAAATGTGATGCTGATATTCAGTAGTAAAGTTCGACTTACGTCCATTTCGACTTACGACCGGTTTCTCGGAACCGAACTCAGTCGGAAGTCGGATGGTAGGTGTATATGCTTGTATATGTATGTGTAGTGTGACTTAAGTGTAAATAGAAGTAGCAAGATGTACCTGAAATCTTGCATGCAAATTACTGAATATTAAATATAAACAGAACACGAAGTTATACCTATCTGGGAAAAATCCTTTGTTGCCAGTCAGGCTGCTTGATCCACCACGTGGACTGCTCAACAATCCACCTCTAGAATTGGTTGATCCACCTCGAGGACTGTTGAGCAATCCACCTCGGGAACTATTGGACGAATTGCCTCGTGTGTTGTTAAATGATCCACCTCGGCCTCTGTTGGATGACCCACCCCGAGAATTACTGAACGATCCACCACGAGAATTGTTGAATGCTCCACCTCGTCCCCTGTTGGACAACCCACCCCGAGGGCTATTGAATGGCTTTCCTCTGGCATTCTTATCAAAGCCTCGGCCTCTTGCATTTCCTCTGTTATTACCTTGAGCTTGTGTGTTCGAGCCCATGCCAGAACCTTCACCTCGAATAAAAGCCTTTTTACCACCGGCACCCCAGTACCCAAAATACTGACCATTTGGATTAGTATCTTTCTTATTATTTCCTGGAGTGCTGGCAGTATTATCTTGCTGTGGTCTGTCCAGTGGTTTTTTTTTATTTCGCCTTTTTTTTTTCTTTGCTGCTGCTCCACTGACACTCACAGACTCATCACGTTTCCTTTTCAGAGTGTTGTCTGTATCGTTGGCCTGCGATGGCACTGTTTTGTTTGGAGGCTCAGCAGGCTTGGTAGTTCCGGTGTTACTGGGAGCCCCTGCAGGTTTGACCGTCCCTGCATTATTGGGAGCCCCTGTAGGTTTGACGGTCCCTGCATTATTGGGAGCCCCTGCAGGTTTGGTGGCTGTGGTCTGGGTCACTTGTACTTTTTGTGGTGGGAGCATATTCTGTCTCTCCAAACTAGCTTTTCTCTTCCTTTTCTTCTTGTTTCTCGATACAATAACTGTGCCGGTGTTACTGGAGGTGGCATTGTTGACATTAGTAATAGGATTTGTAGTGATGTTTGGGGTTCTTTTGCCAACATTTCCCACAGTGGTAGGAACACTTAACTGGGCACTGCTAGCAACTGTGGAGTTAGAGACAGTAGTGCCAATGGTGGGCACATTGGTGGACCTACCAACATTGTTGTTCATGTTCATACCAGCATTAGCTTTCCTTTTTTTATTCCTCTTTTTATTTTTCTTGTTGGTGAGGGTAGTGGTGCTGCTGGCAACAGTATTTGAGGTGGTGGTTTTATTGATGGTATTGTTGCTATTAACAGCATTAATAGTAACAGTGTTGATGGTAGGAGTTACAGTGGTTGCGCTAGCATTGGTGACAGGGGGTTTCACAGTGGCGGCAGCAGGTGTGGTGGGTTTCACAGTGACAGCAGCTGGTGTGGTGGGTTTCACAGTGGTGGCAGCTGGTGTCATGGGTTTCATAGTGGTAGCAGCTGGTGTGGTGGGTTTCACAGTAGCAGCAGCTGGTGTGGTAGGTTTCACAGTAGCGGCAGCTGGTGTGGTGGGTTTCACAGTGGCGGCAGCTGGTGTCATGGGTTTCATATTGGTAGCAGCTGGTGTGGTGGGTTTCACAGTAGCGGCAGCTGGTGTGGTGGGTTTCACAGTAGCGGCAGCTGGTGTGGTGGGTTTCACAGTGGCAGCAGCTGGTGTGGTGGGTTTCACAGTGGTAGCAGCTGGTGTGGTTGGTTTCACAGTGGTAGCAGCCGGTGTGGCGGCTTTCGCAGTGGCGGCAGCTGGTGTGGAGGATTTTGCAGTGGTGGCAGCTGGTGTGGTGGGTTTCACAGTGGCAGCAGCCGGTCTGGTGAGTTTCACAGCAGCTGCAGCTGGTGTGGAGGATTTTGCAGTGGTGGCAGCTGGTGTGATGGGTTTCACAGTGGGAGTACTGGCCATAGGTCTACCAGTGTTAGAAGTGTTGATGCTGCTGTTGTTCTGCCCTACACCCTGAAAAGAACATAAGAATGGAGGAACACTGCAGAAGGCCTACTGGCATGCATTAGTTTGTATTAGTTTGATCATATTCATGGGGATGTCCTAAACCCATAGGGGTCATACACCATCTGGGGAATGGAACTTTATCCATACCTGATCTAAGATGGGGTGGGTAGCTCCAACTCCTTGACTCAAGAGCCCTTCACCAGAATCACAAGAATTAATAGGGTTTCCATGAAGTTTTGTCAGGATTTCATTTTTTAACCCTTTGACTGTCTTGGTCGTATAAATACGTCTTACGAGCCAGTGTTTTTTAACATGTTAATAAGCCAAAATTCTAGTGGGTTCAAATCAAGTGGGAGAAAGCTGGTACGCCCACATCAGAGAAAATGGGTCTGTGTGGTTAATGTGCCCAGTATAAAAAATCCTGCAACACGCAGTGAATAATGAGAAAAAAAAACTCCGACTGTGTTTTTGGATTAAAACACTGACTTGGAGGTGTATTGTCATGTAGGATTTTTGGTTGTATTCTCGTTTTCTTGGTCTCATTTGATACAATGGAAGATATATTACAGAAATAAAGATGATTTTGATTGGTTTCACGATGAAAAGGGCTTTGAAATTGAGCTCAAAGTAGCTGAAATGTTTGATTTTTCGCCGATGTTCAAGACTAAATATATGACGTCACCGTCCAATACGTGTCCAACTGGCTAGTCTAATATGCAGTTACAAATGGGTTGTCATTATTTATACAATTATTACAAGAGTGCAGTAGTCTGCATAACAGTAAGTCTTCTATTTTGTGTGAATAAAAATTCAAAATAGAAAGCAAGAGTAATATAAGAGGGGCTTGGAGACATGACTAATGAACAGAGAAAATGTTATTTCAGTGCTAGGAATGTCTAGATTGTTTATTCTGGATCTTATTTCAAAATTGGCATCTTTTTTAATTTGCACGAAAGTGGCCAAATTACCAATTTCTGACCACTTTACTGGGTAGTCGAAATCGGTAAATGGGCGGTTTCTTGTACTCAATCGGCAGAACAAATGGAGTTCTAAAGAAATAGCTACGAGTTTGGTCAACTGAAACAAAGGAATTGGCCAAAAATAGGGCTCAAAGTGGGCGAAATCGCTGATGTGTATATATTGCCGAGATCGCTAACTTAGTGAGAGCGTAATTCTGTAAGTTTTCCATCAAATTTCATACTTTTGGTGTCATTACCATCGGGAAAAGGTTCTCTATCATTTCACAAAAAAAATAATTTTTTTTTTTAATATTTTGTGACACAGGAACACACTAGCACGTATTTAGGGTCGTGACAGTCAAAGGGTTAAAAGATGACTGTTACATGAAAATGATCCAGGAAAGGCCAAAACGTAAACAAGTCATGTCACAATTGGGGTTTGAAACCATGACAGGCAAGTCCTAAAACTTGCAGATCAGGACATATGGTCCCTCTTTCCTACCTGCAGGTTTATGGTGAATAACAGGCCTGGTAAGGGAACAGGCCAAAGGGGTGATGACCCTGAAACCATTAGTAGATATGCATAATGCAAAGCAGTAGGCATTTGAACTGAGTCTATTATCCTACTCAAACAGCTAATTATAATAACCAGGAAGTGCTAAACCCACTGGGGTATTATACTGTAAGTAATGTGGCATACAAAGCCTGGATAATGGAAGGCAATCAGGTCTGATCCAAGCAAGGAAAAGGCAGCTCCAATTCCAGGAGGGAGTGACAACATTCACAATTTCAAGCAAAATACGTATACAATTTTTGAATATAAAAAAAAAAGTGCGCAAATACAACAGGCCTTTGAGTCAATGTAACTTGATTTACTAAACAAATATATACAGGAAAAAATCCACTGGTTACAGAATTGTTCGTTCTCACAATCCCAGCGAAACAATCTCATCTCTAATGACCACAATTACCACTGTCAACCATCTGCTTACCCCTACTGCTTTGTTAAACTAAAGCTTTGCTGTACAGCCAAACCGTCGCCAAGCGTCAGATCAACCAGGCTGTGATGGATATGTGAGGCAGCAGGCCACCACCAGCAACAGCCTGGTTGACCAGGCTAGTACTAGACAAGCCTGGCCCATGGCTGGGCTCCAAGAGTAGAACGACTCTCAGAACTCGCCAAAAGGTATACCAGCATTGTAATGAATTTCATACTCGTAACTCCTTATACATTCACTTAATTCTCATGAACATTTATGCAATACAGTACAACTCCATTTTTTAAACTAGTACACTGTAAATTTAATCTTAATTCTGTCTGAAATAAATTTCATGTCTATGAGCTTTTCCATGTAAACAAAAAATACATACAGTGGAACCTCTACTTGCGAGCGTGTCCATGTGCGAGTTTTTCCAAATACGAGCAGTCGATTTTTTGCTTCCATATGCGAGCAAAATTTCCACAAGCGAGCAGACCTCAAGGCAGGTTCCTTGACGCTGGTGAGGGACTCTTGCTCTTGATCTCGGGAATTGTATCTCATTTGTTTGTTGGACTATCTTATTGAAACTTGGGCAATGTATGATGGAAAGATGCTTCTTAACGTACACCAAAAATGAAAGAAGTCTAAGCATAAATAATGGAGTTCACTTCTCAGCAATTAGCCACCCCTTAGTGGTAATTCTGAATGGTTTTTATGGTTGTATTCTCGTTTTTTGGTCTCATTTGATAGAATGGAAGATAAATTACAGAAATAGATATGATTTTGATTGCTTTCACGACGAAAAGTACCTTGAAATAGAGCTCAACCTAGGAGAAATGGTCCACTGCTTGGCTGTTTCAGTGTAAACAAATGACGTCACAGTAAATCTTATATTTTTGGTGTGAATAAAAATTACAAATTATTTATATAATAATAATGACATTTTTTATTCATTCTAGAGTATATATCATGTTTCTTTGTTATTCATATTGTTTGTTATGTCATACTAGATGAACTGTGATAGATAAATAAGCAGTATAGATGATATTAGCAAAATTATTCATGAAGTATTTTGCCCGGTGTCCAGACAAACTCTCGTCCACCGCCGACACCGCCCATACCACTACATGAATGACATATTTTATTCATTTTAGAGTATATATCAGGTTTCTATGTTATTTATATTGTTTATTATGTCATATTAGATGAAGTGAGATAGATAAATAAGCCGTAGAGTTAGTATTAGCGAAATTATTGAAGTATGTACGGAATTCCACTGGAACGGATTAATTGCATTTCAATTAATATAAATGAGGAAAACTGACTCTGCAAATGAGCAAATCCAGTTGCGAGCAAGGTCATGGAACGGATTAAACTCGCAAGTAGAGGTTCCACTGTAATGCAAAACCTAGGTAATGCCATGGAAAAGGGACTTTACCTTAAATCCAGCTGGTTTTCCTTGAGCATTAGGATTAACTGCTGGACTACTGGCTGCAACTTTTACAGCGGGTGAAGTCGGTGGAATTTTTGCAGCCACTGGCTTCACATTTGCCGGTGAGCTCGGTGGCACCACCTTAGTAGGGACATTTGCCTTTGTACTTGGCAGCGAGCTTGGAACGGTTGCCTTGGCAGGTACGTTGGGCCTTGTGTTAGCTGATGAGCTCAGCTGAGGAGCCTTGGAAGCTATGTTGGGATTCACATTTGCTTGTGAGCTTGGTGGAGCCTTAGTAGCAACACTGGGCTGCACAGTCCTCGGTGAGCTCAGTGGAGCCTTAGCTACAGTGGGCTTCACATTTGCCAGAGAGCTTGGAGGAGCCTTAGTAGCCATGTTGGGGTTCATATTCCCAGGAGAGCTCAGTAGTGGTGTCTTAGCAGCTACATTGGGTTTCACACTCCCCAGTGAGCTTGGAGGAACCTTGGTAGTAATATTGGGCATTATTCTTGCTGGTGAACTGGGTGGTGCCACCTTAGTGGCTACATTAGGCTTCATAGCAGGTGAGCTTGGTGGTTGAGCCTTTGAAGCATTCGGTGCTCCTTTACCTGCCACATTGCTACTGGATCCCTGAGAGGACATGGTGTTTTCCAGCCACCGTTTCCAAAAAAATGAGTCCAATCGCCGCTTTCCTAAGCAAGTGATCTCATCTGAAAAAAAAAAAAAATATTAATCAATGCACTGAAATCAACCAAGCAGGTTGATATCAAATTCAGAAATGTACACTGCAAAAGTATGCATGTAAGTTTATTTAGGCATAGGTACACATAAGTATAATCACCATACTTAGTGTAAATTTCCTAGGATAATCCAAAAGTCAGACAGTGACTTATTTCCACTGGGGTCCTTCAGGTATTCGTTTAGGGCTCGTGATGAGAGGCGAGCTCACAAACGAGATGAATTTAAATCAAATACAGGCAACTATACTCGAACATGGAAATCTGTTATAAAGGCAAAAAGCTTCATCAATAAAGATACCCAAGTGTTGCTCGGGTATCTTTAATCATCAGTGTTCTTCGTTCTTCTATACAGAAAGACAAACAGAAACCTGGGTCCCAATGAAAATAAGTTGCTGACTATTCTGGTGTTACCCTATGTAATATACACCTAATGTTATTACGTAATTAAGAACATTACAAGCATCTAAAAATTGTAAAATTGTACCCAAATAAACTTGATTTATAATTTTCTGGAATACGTAATCTTCTTTGCTTCTTTTTTTTATTATTTTTTTTTATTATCACACTGGCCGATTCCCACCAAGGCAGGGTGGCCCAAAAAAAAGAAAAACTTTCACCATATTACCCCATCATTGTCTTGCCGAGGGGTGCTTTACTACATTTTTTTAAACTGCAACATTAACCCCCCTCCTTCAGAGTGCAGGCACTGTACTTCCCATCTCCGGACTCAAGTCGGCCTGCGGAAAATGTGGTTTCAATTTTTAAGCTTTTTTTTTTTAAAAATACTTTCTATAAAGATTAAGATTTTGTTGAATTCCTAAAAGGAGGTTAGCCCATCCAAGGTAACCCAATAAATTGGTGCTTATTGGGGATTTTTTTACAACATGGGGGTTTAAAACCCCCTTAAACTGTGAAAGCGTAGACTACATTGCTCGCGGCACTCCAAAGTAGATTTAATTTTTTATTATTTCTTTGGAGAAAATCAAAGGGTTGGAGCGCTTGCGTGAAAACAAGATCTAGTTTGGACAGTATAAGGGCTAATTTTCTTCCCAAGGTGAGACCCCCACCAGTTAGTCCTACGAGGAGAGGTCAAAGGGAAAAATTTAACTGTACATGGAGGACAGGGGGGATAGGGGGGACATAACAATATATAAAATATGAGAGGAATTGATAAGGTGGATAGGGTAGATGTTCCAGAGATGGGACACAGAACAAGGGGTCACAATTTGGGAAGTTGAAGACTAAGATGGTCACAGGATGTTGGAAATATTTCTTTAGCACAAAAATGTTAGGAAGTGGAACAGTCTGGGGTGTAGTGGGACGGTTTTTAATAGTGAAGGGGAGGTTGATAAAGCTCTGGAGCAGGGAAAAGGGGTGAATAGTGACCAGCGAAGAGGTGGGGCCGAAGCTTGAAAAACAACCCTGCAACCAAAATTTGGCAAGTACTTTTGTGAGTACCCCCGGACCTTCATCGCTAGGTAAACGGGCGGTGGGTAAGGGGGAAAAGATTGTTCACCCATGGGGGATGATTTCGTCCCCCATTGTGAGATTATGCTATCCCCAAGCCACAAGACCCCGTAGTTTTTTTTTATGAATTAAGTTAACCCCCTAGTCAAAGTTGCTGAAGTGCTAGTATCAGGTATTTTTTTTAATCTTTTTATGTACCCCCCTCCAATCCTGTGGGGGTAATTAAAAAATTTTCAGAGGACATAAGGGTCCAGGGGGGCTGAACCCCCAAATCATATAGCTGAACTAGTTACAAAGGTAATGAATCCAGGTAGATCTGGCACAATCTTGACAAATTACAAAGTAATGGCCCCCTGAAAGTTTTACAGCCCAAAGGCTTCTTCAGTCCCAATCGGAAAGGTGGAAATGGTTTTTGGTAAATTTGTCCCTAAACCTGGAATCATGTTCAGTCTATCACCTTGTAAAAAAGATGACAGACTGAACACCGATCCAAATGAGGGACTAAATTTCCTCAAAACTCCCCCTATCTTCCCCCTTTCTCTGCACGGACTGAAAAGCCACTGGCTGCAAAAAGTTTCCCGAAAAGAAGAACTTAAAAGTTGACAAGTGCTTCATTTTCAATTTCTCCCAGATAAATAAACATACTAAAACCCAAATTACATATGAGGAGAGCTAAACCTGTAGGGGTCATACATAATTATCATAACTAAGCACTAATCCCACAGTAGGGTCATGAAGTACCTGAGGGAATGAGAGGACTCAAGTTCGATCCAAGGAAAGGGAGAACAGGTCTAATTCCTTGGATCAAGAGCCTCACTAGCATCAAGAAATTTCCCTCCAGGAGGGTCAGTATTTTTTTTATCGAGTGACATAGGCCTAAGTGTCTCTGCCAGCCTACCCTAGGCCTATTATTTTTATCTGACATTTTGTATACTTTTGTAGTACACTCAGTGATGTTTGTCAGGGGTCGAGACATAGCTCCTGGTCCCGTCTAGTGATATGGGGAAACGCTGAACCCATAAGAGTTCATGCCTGGGAAAAGGGATGCAATCAGATCTGATCCAAGGAAGGGAAGGGCAGATCCAATCCCTTGGATCAAGAACCTCTCACCTGGAATGCAGGCGAGATAGATACATGATAATATACACTTGGAAGGTCCTGGAGGGATTAACCAAACCTGCACACGAAAATCACTCCCTATGAAAGCAAAAGACTCGACAGGAGATGCAACATTCCCCCGATGAAAATCATTGAGACAATACAATAAGTGTCAGGGGCCCAAGACTGTTCAACTGCCTCCCAGCATACATAAGGGGGATTACCAATAGACCCCTGGCAGTCTTCAAGAAGGCACTGGACAATCACCTAAAGTCGGTATCTGACCAACCAGGCTGTGGTGCGTACGTCAGCTTGCGTGCGGCCAGCAGTAACAGCCTGGTTGATCAGATCCTGATCCACCATGAGGCCTGGTCTCAGACCGGGCCGCGGGGGGCATTGACCCCCGAAACCCTCTCCAGGCAACAAGGAAATGCAATCGAGAGGAAAATTCTGACATGGAAAAAAACAAAGTTGCCATTTTAGAGTGAAGCGCTAAACCTACAGGGGTCAACACAGCACCGGGGAGGGGGGGAATGGAAGGAAATCAGCATCGATCCAAGGAAGCAGAGAAGAGCTTCAGCTCCCTGGATCAAGAGCCCCTCGCCAGCATCAAGAAACTACCCACCACCACCAACACAAAATGGTCAACCTCCTCGGGAAACTTTTTCTCTTAATATCAATTTTCCGCCCTCAGCGGCGCCATTTATCCACACAACAGTTATCACAGGCCATTATGCCATCCCAGGTTACCTTATTCTGCTCTAGAAACACAGATTTACTGGGAAAATAGAGTATTAATGGCCATGTGTAAGCAGGAGCCGACGATCCCTGGTATAAACACAGGCAACAGTGTTGCCACACAAAGATTTGGCGAAAATTTTTAGCCACCTGGTGGGATCTCCCCGCCTTGGGTGGGAAATTTAAATTGTTAATGAGTGCAAAATAACCGGAGGGGGTGGGGTGAATGATAGCTCTAGGGCTTTCGTGTTGTAGGGGATACCTCATTAGAAATGAGTAGGAAGTCCAGGACTTCCTACTCATTTCTGCAACTTTGCAAGCTCCTGATGAAGTGTTTGAAACATGAAAGGCCTAGAGGTATCATTCATCCCCCCCCCACTTCCCCTGTGGTTATTTTGCATCTTTTGTCGCTTGAACGGCTCTAGCAGTTTCCCTGAACGAGCCTACCTGGATTTCCTACTCATTTCTGCAACATTGCAAGCTCCTGATAATGTGATTGAAACACGAAAGGCCTAGAACTATCATTCAAATTCCCCTGTGGTTATTTTGCATCTTTCCTCGCTTGTTCGCGAATTTTGCATATTGTTAATGACCCTTAATTTCTCGACTTTGAAATTTTAACTCTCCACAGCTCATTATCTCGCCTTAGTTATTATTCCGATATCATCAACTCTGTCTCCTCGGTAGACACTGGCGAAAGCCGACGACCGGAAATAAATTATTATTATTATTATTATAATCAAAAAGAAGCGCTAAGCCATCCGGAAATAAAGATACTGGTAGCAGAGGATCCTTTCAAATACAGGCTTGGGTGAAACATTTTATTAAAAGGATCTCTGTTCCAAGTGTTTTTATTCTGCTGGTCTCATATTGTGGCTAGCTGGTCCAGTGGCTAACGCGACGGCCTGGAGTTTTGAGACTCTCTGATCGTGGGTTCTATGCCCGCCCGTGGTATGGTTTGTTAAGTAAGTAAGCAAGTAAGTTTATTCAGGTATACACAAATACAGTTACATAGAATTATCATACATAGCAGCATATGTGTAGAGAACCTAGGATAACCCAAATCGTGTCATTACGATTTCGTGAGTCATAGCCCTTTCTGTAAATTAATTCTTCAAGACCACGGTACTCTTCACCAACTCAAAGGCAGAGGGACTAATTACCTTTTCTTCTCATTATGTCCTTGAATTTGTATTGATAAAACCACTGGATGGCGAAACGTCTACAATAAAGATACCCAGAAGTTGCATATGTGTCCAATTCTTCATCAAAAAACATTAAAGTTCATAGGTAAGGAGAACCTAAGACTGAGATTATTAATCTCAATCATAAATTTTGCCCACCTCCACACCAGAACTGTGAACAAACAATGCTGTAACCAACAGACATCCGCTATTTCTGGACTAAACAAAGACAATGCTGTACCCATAAATATCTGCGTTTTTTCGTAATAAAGCAGACAATGGAGCCAACGACATCGAAGTTTTACCCCTATCTCTTCTTTTCGGCCGGGAAAACAATTCTAGATTTTTATTATAACAAGGGGGGGCGCTAAACCCTGATTTACACGCATTGGGGGGGGATGTAGGTTTTCAGGCTAAATTTCAGGGAACCGAGCACAAATCCAATTCCCTAGATCAGACCCCCTCACCACGCAAGGAACCTCCTTGGGGGGGGACACAATTTAGGGGATAATTAAGGCTAAACTCAATCTTTCCCACTTACGGAGAAAAAGACCTGCGATGATAGCTTTAAAAAATCGCTACATTAGGCTATTTTCCTCTGATGAGAAAACACTCGGTTGGTCAAGGAAGTTAAACGCACTGTACCAATCGGAGACAACCTCCATGTGTAGGTATGTCAGTAGCAATAGGAGAACTGTCAGTTCTGAAACAGAGAGTTACTGAAGCAAGCTCTTCGTGAAATTCTCCATTAGTGCTGGTAAAGAAATCGGACCAGACATGTCGCTTTTGCGTGGGTTATCAGAAGGTCACCGAGGAAATCACTTCAGACTGTTACCCATTTTTAATCCAAGAAATTCTAGACTTATTTGGCTCTGTAAAATTCTTCTCTATTTCAGATGCTAAGCCTAAGTGCGATTTCCACAGCTGAGAAAGACAGTGTTCTCTAATGGGGTAGAACTATAATATTTCAAGAAGATGGTTTATAGGCGGAAAATGGCTCTGAGTAGCTGCCAGCAAGGTCTATTACCTATTTACCATCAATCAAGGACACTTTAATCCCTAAAACAGAGGAATAAAATAAGCTCCCACTGCAGCATGCGTGTGTGTGAAGTAAGCACAGATATACACAAATTATTAAGAAATTACAGTTAAAACTTTTGTGGATCCCCTCTCACACAGGCCTCCAGGAACGTGACAAAGTATTTGCAAAGAAACATGACCACCCAACACAGCTCGCTGTAGTACATAAAATGCTTGCGCAGGGACTACAGCAAGACCCTGATTACGGCCACAGAATAGCTAGTAGTAAGTTTATTCAGGTATACACATATACAGCTACATAGATTATCATACATAGCAGCATATGTGTAGAGAACCTGGGATAACCCAAAAAAGTCAGTGACTTATTTCCATTGGGGTCCTTTAGATTCTCTGACATCTCCCTCGAGATCCTCAGACAGACCATCTTAGAATTAAGACCCATGTCAGGATGCAATTCCTGACGAATTAATCAAATGACAGAGTTAATGAATTAGCTAAACAAACATTAAATACAATAAATGTTGAGTAGAATTTTGGGCTTTCAGAAAGCTTACGGAGCATTGCTAAAAATGAACTAACAAATGAACTTGAAGATAGTAGAACACTACACATATGAACTAGCAGATCCGTTATCCATTATAATGAAATGTATCAAGTCAAACATATCTATGAAGAAAGCAACAAGGTCAGTAGATTGCAAAATGCTGATACTGCTAAGGTAAGGCTAGGTTATAAGTATCTCTGGCACTACGATTTGTATAGAAATCTCAGTAACATAAAATACCAAGTGTGGACAGACAAGGCCATACACTGAAGCATTATATATATTAGTGTCCAAGCACCAAACTTTTCAGAAACATGGCCATGCAAACCTTACAGGATGTGACAAAACAACTTATTGTTAATGATACCTAAAATCTTGAGGTTGTATCCACATTTTCCATCGGGCAGATGAACTGTCTTTATGGAGATGGTAACCATGGTAACCCAGCTATGACCAATGTTTATTATTATTATTATTATTATTATTATTATTATTATTATTATTATTATTAGTCGTAATAAGACTTTTTTTGAGATTGTACCCCATACCCCGCTAACCAGACTGAGAGTCGAAGATCAAAATGAATTTTTTATGAGAGAGCCACAAAATTTGATTAACACAAGCCTATCCGATGTTATCCTGACGCCAAATGACTTCGAACAGGCGATAAATGACATGCCCATGCACTCTGCCCCAGGGCCAGACTCATGGAACTCTGTGTTCATCAAGAACTGCAAGAAGCCCCTATCACGAGCCTTTTCCATCCTATGGAGAGGGAGCATGGACACGGGGGTCGTCCCTCAGTTACTAAAAACAACAGACATAGCCCCACTCCACAAAGGGGGCAGTAAAGCAACAGCAAAGAACTACAGACCAATAGCACTAACATCCCATATCATAAAAATCTTTGAAAGGGTCCTAAGAAGCAAGATCACCACCCATCTAGAAACCCATCAGTTACACAACCCAGGGCAACATGGGTTTAGAACAGGTCGCTCCTGTCTGTCTCAACTACTGGATCACTACGACAAGGTCCTAAATGCACTAGAAGACAAAAAGAATGCAGATGTAATATATACAGACTTTGCAAAAGCCTTCGACAAGTGTGACCATGGCGTAATAGCGCACAAAATGCGCGCTAAAGGAATAACAGGAAAAGTCGGTCGATGGATCTATAATTTCCTCACTAACAGAACAGAGAGTAGTCGTCAACAGAGTAAAGTCCGAGGCAGCTACGGTGAAAAGCTCTGTTCCACAAGGCACAGTACTAGCTCCCATCTTGTTCCTCATCCTCATATCCGACATAGACAAGGATGTCAGCCACAGCACCGTGTCTTCCTTTGCAGATGACACCCGAATCTGCATGACAGTGTCTTCCATTGCAGACACTGCAAGGCTCCAGGCGGACATCAACCAAATCTTTCAGTGGGCTGCAGAAAACAATATGAAGTTCAACGATGAGAAATTTCAATTACTCAGATATGGTAAACATGAGGAAATTAAATCTTCATCAGAGTACAAAACAAATTCTGGCCACGAAATAGAGCGAAACACCAACGTCAAAGACCTGGGAGTGATTATGTTGGAGGATCTCACCTTCAAGGACCATAACATTGTATCAATCGCATCTGCTAGAAAAATGACAGGATGGATAATGAGAACCTTCAAAACTAGGAGGCCAAGCCCATGATGACACTCTTCAGGTCACTTGTTCTATCTAGGCTGGAATATTGCTGCACTCTAACAGCACCTTTCAAGGCAGGTGAAATTGCCGACCTAGAAAATGTACAGAGAACTTTCACGGCGCGCATAACGGAGATAAAACACCTCAATTACTGGGAGCGCTTGAGGTTTCTAAACCTGTATTCCCTGGAACGCAGGAGGGAGAGATACATGATTATATACACCTGGAAAATCCTAGAGGGACTAGTACCGAACTTGCACACGAAAATCACTCACTACGAAAGCAAAAGACTTGGCAGACGATGCACCATCCCCCCAATGAAAAGCAGGGGTGTCACTAGCACGTTAAGAGACCATACAATAAGTGTCAGGGGCCCGAGACTGTTCAACTGCCTCCCAGCACACATAAGGGGGATTACCAACAGACCCCTGGCAGTCTTCAAGCTGGCACTGGACAAGCACCTAAAGTCAGTTCCTGATCAGCCGGGCTGTGGCTCGTACGTTGGTTTGCGTGCAGCCAGCAGCAACAGCCTGGTTGATCAGGCGCTGATCCACCAGGAGGCCTGGTCACAGACCGGGCCGCGGGGGCGTTGACCCCCGAAACTCTCTCCAGGTAAACTCCAGGTAATACTGTACTGTACTGGCCCATATTGTAATTGAAAAGTACAAAA